AAATACAACAGCGTTCATGCTACGCGGCAATCATCCTTCGCCCCTACCAAAAAAGAGAGCTGGCCCTCTCTCTCTCTCTCTCTCTTTGTTTCTCTCTGTCTACCTCATATTTCTTATGGTGCGTCTTGATTATCCCTTTTTTCTCCAAGGATATTCCCTCGATTCATTGTATAAGTACAAGTGGATATTGAAAATTACACTCTGCTTCATGAAAGTCGGTCTCGTATCTTTCATAGTACCTAACGAGAATCGTAACTAACTCCGAGCCATCACCTAACTTCATATAAATGGGTAATCAATAATTTCATTGATCCATTGTTTAGAAAACTCCATTCCTCTAACAAAAAGAGGTCTGTGTCAATTTTTCACGGCTCAGTATGATTTTCAGTTATGACGATTCGGTAATAATGACGGTGATAAAGGTATTTTTTTGAGTGGTTTCTTTGCTCGCTTGAAGATCGATCATGCCATAAGATAAAATCTCAAAATTCAAAGAGTTCGAAATGACATCATCACGCACATTACAAAAAGCTACTATTTTCTGCTTGTAAGTTCTCTAGTAGGAAGGGTTTAAAAATTAATAAGCAGTTCTAAACTAGATTATTCCACTTCCTAAGCGATTCGGTTACACGGTCTAGTGCAGTCCTTAATGTGGATTCTTCCAAAGAACTTTTTGGGTTGTTTTATAATAGATAAGAAAAGTGTGAAGCACTATTAGGAAATGGTTTCGGTCATCAAGGTTTTTGATGCAGACTTCTCATCAGTCTGCCGTCTCATTGGGAGTGGGTGTTCTTGGGTGTCGGGCCGTGTTGTGCAGAGGTGTTCATCCTCCTAACCAAGACTTCCCATGCTAAGGAGTTTGACGTTTCTGTCCGGAAGTCCAGCTAAGAGTGAACTAACACCACGATCCTCCACCCTCCTGGTACCAGACTAGTCGCATGGTGGCAAATTCTCTCTTCTCTCTGCTCCATAAGGGCAGCGTCTGCCAGTGGTGGTGACGACCTGAGGAAGGCTTCAGCCAAGAGGACCTCTGGACCTCAGGAAACCACCCACTATGGCTAAATCAGGAAACCTCTGAGATATTGAAACTATGCTGGGTCCGACACATCTTATAAAAAACGGGCCAAACAAGTATCCAAGTAAGTGCATCATACGTCAATGGATTATTTGTGAATGTGCACGATTCAGTGCTGTGTAAATTTGAACGAAAAGACTTCACAAACACTTTCACGCATTTGAACGTTCGTTGCTAACTATAGCGGCTGTTTTTTGCTGTTCTCGATGTCGAAAATACCGCACGCACTTTCTCATCGTTTCGTTTTTGTCACCAATTTACATGGAAGCTCGCGATTTCACCAGCGATATCGCCGACGTTTCTCATAGAATCACTCGTTCAGTTCACTTTCTTTGTGTGCACTATAACATTCTTCTTTAGCTTTTTCAATCAATATTTAACTAAAAAATTGTCTACAGTAGTGTCTAACGTTTCTTGGGAACGTATTACAAAAGACAACGAGACGTTCGGCTTTCATCAATCCCTCACACATGCGCCATGCATTCGACTCCGTTCATAACATCACACAATATCTGGCCAGGAATAGTGCTACAATTTGCCGACTCAGGAAGATGTGGGGTTTGGTAGTTCTGAGGCCAAGGACCGAACCAACTATTATATGCGTGTTGCAGACCACCTCTATACATTGCGCCACGCGTCTCCAGGAAATCATCTTGGCCGCAAATAATTCGTATAACATGGCTTCTTGCAGAGAAACACTCGAATTTCAGAATTTCTACTTGTCATCACCACTACCACTTAGAATTCGATCATTTGAACGAATTGTGTGGCCAATTAAAAATTGAAAATACTTGGAAAAAATTGGACAGTTAGAAGCCTGACCTTTCTCTTCTCTGAACAACTTCACTTTCCTAAAGTATGCAGTAAGCCACTCACGGTTTTTTCGTCGCTATTTAACAAATTCTGACGAGGACTAGGCTTCTTTGAAGCTCGGTACTGTAAAAAAAGGACCATGACGAATCCTCGGTATTCATTACTAGAAATATCCCATTTTTTAAGTAGGAAAACTTTATTTCTTATCTTTTCTTACAGTACTAAGAGATCATCAATCAATCATCACCTAGCTGAAGAGGATGTTTACAGTCAACCAGTTTAACCAAAATGTATGTTTCTATTGCTGTTCAGCACCTGTAATTCATGCTCAGTTTAGAATCAGACAGATGACTACTTTCCTGTTTCATACATTAACCAACTCGTTTCAAGCGGACTTTTTTTTATTGTTTTGAGTGCCAAATCTTCTAAAATTCTTTTTCTAAGTCTTCCTTTTGAAGTGTTTCGTTAGTGAGTTTTATTGAACCTTGTGAATAATATGATAGCCTTGGCCGAGAATGCTGCACCAACAAAACAGCTCTTGTGAAAATGAATTAAAGAAAGCAACGGCTGTGAAATAGTTTAGGAAATTTTTCGCGAAAGATAAATCTGCTTTATCGAAAATAGCGCAGGTCAATGCTGAATTAGAATGAAGCCCGACATAACTGTTAGTAGCTTCTCCATCCTGTAGCCTTCTTCATCGAAGTTGGTTCTCGTCGCTTTGAAATTTAGGTTTCAATCGTTTCTTGCTACCTAATATTTAACCAATACCACCTTTACACGTGATATTTTCTTGTGTTGTAATCATATGGATTTCCTACATTTGTCTTCAGCTCCCTCCCAACGGTTTACCGCCTCACCGTGGCTAGGAGGTGCTCCTGGGTGTCAGGCTGTGATGTTGAGTGGGTCTTCATCTCCCAACCAAAGCTTCCCAAGCTGAGATGGAACCCGACGTTTCCATTCGGGAGCACAGCTGAAACTGAACCGATACCAGGACACACCACCCTTCTGGCATCATGCTAGTCGCATGGTGGCAAATTACTTCTGATTCACAAGAGCCGGGGACTGCCTGGAGTGGTGACGACCTAGGGCAGACGTTGGACAAACTGGCCTCGGGACACCAGGGAAACACAATGGCTAAGCCAGAAAAACTCCGGGAAATGGAGACTGTGGTGAAGCCCGCACAGCAAGTGAAGACATGTCGTTCAAGTATCCAGGTATGCAAGTCTTCAGCTCTGCTTTCCTGTCTTCCTTGTGGACCTGTTAATCATCGAATGATTCGAGCGTTAACAATAACGCATTCATTTGTTGCCTTTCAGCGCCATCGTTGCCCAATGTTAGGTTTCACTAGCTCGAGAGACAGGAGCGACATCACAGTTTTTGTTTCTTGCCCTCTATTTCATGGTTTTTGGCGTGAGGGTAATGAGTGATTCTCCGGCGGCCCACGCAACTACTTGCACCCACGTGAACCCTGTTGGGGTTTTTCGCATTAGATATAGAACATTATTGTTGGAGGCGACTTTAGACCAGCTTCTCAAATAGTTTATTCATTTGATTTACTATTCAAATATTGACTAAATTTCCATGCATGAAACAATTCACAGGTACGTAGACAAATCCATGCACTATGCACGAACACCTTTGCGTAAATCAAAAATATATGAGTGAATCGGGCTTAGTAAGAAGAAGCAGATCAGCTTCTAACTCCAGCTGCGACTCGGAACTAATACATGGTAAATTCTAATCCGGATCGCAAGTTTTTGTTCGTGAGTACACTAAATAACCTTGGTGCTGGCTGGGCTCTATGCATTTCAAGTGAGGGAGATTCTTATTTCTCAGTTCTCTACGTTTAATAAAGTCTTACAAGCAGCTCAGCACTGGGCGTCATTCAGTGAGGGCTTCATTCTCGAGGTTAAGAAATGAAATGATAGAGTTCTCAACGTTGATCAATCCTTGATGGATGCGCCATGAACTCGACTTCATTAAACATCGCTGGACGTGATTGAATGCATATCTCGCATTTACTTGACTCGCAGTAGCCTGCCGATGTATTCGGCCAGTGCTGTTATTCTCCCGGACAAGTCTGGTACTAATTTGCCAACTCCGGAGGGATGGAGGGCTTGGTGAGCCTAGGGCTGGGACACCGCCGTTGATCCCATGTGTACTCCAGGAGGCCTCCAACCGCTGCGCTACATGCGCCCGCACGCTAACTATAAGGTTAGCGCTGCTATGAATTGCTTGACAAAAAACGTTTTAGGGAAGAACCACAGCTTTAAGTTAAGATTTATGTATCATTTCGACAAGTGGTGAAGCCGTTTCCACAAATTTTGTAGCCATCATTCCCACTTAACTATTGGTATTTCGCTAGATAGCAGGTGTTTTTCTGACTAAAATCTTGAGATTGTACTTCACCATAGCTTCTTTGTCGGATTCAAAGCATCAGATATCCGAATCATTCGAATCGCTAACGTATAACTTCGAAGTCTTCCATTGCGTCTGTTCGACGACAGTTTGAATCAGATCGTTAAAAAGAATTCTCCAAAGATATTATTTGAGTTTTAAAAGTTATCACTGCTCTTGCAACATTAGATTTTTTTCAATCACGATGATGCTAAGATATTTGCAAAACTTGTACCGAGGCCAGATTCGAGCCCGTTATTACCTTTCCACGTAATACTTTGCGTGAAGGAATAATAGAGAGTAAATAGAAAGTTAAGCATTCGATGTTTTCATTCTTCGTTGATCCAATAAAGATTACTAATGTCGAATACCTAACTTCTTCAGACGATTACTAATTTTTATTATTACATGGATTTTAAGATAATACTGGGTCTTAAGAAACCCTTTACATTTGAAAACCACCAAAATTCTCTTAATCCTTTTGTCACGGATCAAACCAATCAGTGGGTGATTCTTCCAAAGGTTTTGCTGCGATGTCGAAACGGATTTGTACGACCTTTGACACCTGTGATATTATAGTCATTATTATTATCGTTATTATTATTGTTATTATTATTTTTTTTATAATCATCGGTAATGTTCCAGTGCTACTTTGCCATCGGGTTAAACCCTTATTATCGATAGAGTTTGTCAGAGATGAAATATTCGCTTTGTGATGAAAATTTTACTTCAGGAACAAAGCAGTGGTTTCGACGACCCACAACAACGCGAGTCCAGTGAACAGGTCAGTGAGGATTTGATTAACTATTTTTTACTGTAAAATAAATAATACTAGACTACTCTAATCGCCTTCCCATATCGTCGAAGATGTTCGGCAGCTACCGTAATCCTTTACGGCTGCATTTTCGAGCGTCTTCTGCCGGCGCGCGTTTGTCGCACGTTCGTCGATGTAATTGAGACGGCTGCTAGAAAAACGTCGCAAGCGGCAGCCGCTGCGACGCTACCGTAGTCTCGCTGAAAAACGGCTTCATTCACGAAGAGATTTCCATTAATCGCCTTTTGTTTCATCAAAGTTTCCAATGGTCTGGTCCACTTCTGAAATCTAATTGTTTTCTTAGGCAAAACTACTCGGGAAATATCGCTAATCCATAATTAGCCTTTTTTTCTTGCTTACACTTGCTATGTGGTTGCTTAGCCGTTCCAATCAATCAACATGTGATTTCATAGTCTTTTCTTCTATTCTGCGACAGAAAAACAGCTCACCGCATTCAGTTCTCTCAATGTTTTCGATTATCATTCGAACTTACTTCAAGATTGTTAGAATCCAGATTTTTTGCAACTTAGTACAGAGGTCCTCTAGAGCTGGTTACTTATAATTAATGGGCTAACTAACTGACTATTCTTACGAATTATTGCGTTTTATAATGTTATCATTGTTGTTATGCTTGATGTTGTCGATGTTGTCGCTGGTGATGGTGATGACAGTGATTATGGTGTCGTGGTGACCGTGCTGACCGTTGATGTTGTTGTTGTTGCTGTTGCCGTTGTTGTTGTTGCTCCTGTTGTTGCTGCTGTTGTTGTTGCTGCGGTTTTTGTTGCTGTAAATGTGTTTGTGTCTGTAACTTGTGCCTAAGTTTCGCTTATTCTATGGAAATCGTAATAATAACGTCAAGGTATTCACTACATGAGCACCGAGGCCACACTGAGATGAGATCATTTAATGATCTTACTTTCATAGCCAACGAGATGTTTCAGTATCCTTAACCAAAAAGAAAATCAATAGGTTTTTGTTCGAAGTGAGCACGTATATGTGTACCCCATGAGCGAAGATAGGTAAGAAATTATTGTTGAATTTTTTCTTCTTATGTTATTAGGAAACAAGATGAAAGTAAGATGTGATAATGGAGTTTTGATTAATGGACGCTTTGAAACTATGATAGGAGGAAGAGGAAAGGAAATGTTTAACAAAACTAGTGTGTTTTTACTGTCGTCATCTTGTCTGTTGTGTTGGGGTTGCATTCGTCAGATGAGCCGATTACTATGACTCAACAAGTAACATATCGTCTCTCTATTACATTGGTCTTTTCGTCTCGGTCTCTACCAACGAACACTCGACATTTGTTAGTTCTTCATGAGGTCAAGTACAAGTACAAGTTTCCCTCTTCCGCTTTCGCTGCTTATCCATCGCTACCATATTCGACGTAGTGACGTCACGTGTACAGTATGATTGTACTTGTCGCCTCAGAATCTTTGTGTTCGTATATCTTAAGTTATAACGGACACTACCCATGTTCGTCCATTAGGCAATATCTATTGTGTCGCGGTAATCCGTTAGCAGCTATCAAGCCAGTCAGTCGTCAGTCATCCAACAAGCCAGTCAGCCGGTGAGCCAGTCATTCGTGCTCTGTCACCTCATTGTCAACTTTCTATTACTTTCTAACAAGGTTTATGTATGACATCGTCGTAAGCTTGTTGTTACAGAAATTTCTTAAAAGATTGGCTTTTATTGGCTACTTCAATGAACGTCAAGAATGCGCTTTGCGAAATGAGCTAAGAAATAATGATGATGAAAAGCAATCTTCAGTCTTAATCTGTCTTTATCTGTCATTTACTTGAGAGTGCTTCTGTTTGACATTCTTTTCTTTAAATCATTCTTTGGTGAAAAAACAGCCTAAAATACTTTTGGAAGCAGCTAGACGTCTATTCGATTAGAATCAGATTCATTTAGAAGCTGTTAGAAGCTGCTTCACTGCCATTCTATGACAACGTGGGGATGTTTGCGCTTCATTGTCATCTCTTCGAGGTCTTAGAATAACGCAGTACATACAAAATATATCTTTTTCTGTAATGTCGAAGAATAGTACGATGTCAAGGGCTATATTGAAGTGAAATGCGGCCATATTTTTTCACATCAACAATTTTCAATCTTTTTTCATCCTTCTTTCTTCTTTTTTAAGTGACATAAAGATGTTGCCATATATGAAGAGCTTGAACCAAAATCGTTCTCGGAACCCATTTAGAAATCAGTAGAAGATATAAAACCCTGTAAATCAGCTGAGGATCAAGTTGGTCACTAAACTTGATTTTTTTCTTCATTAGGTTCGTCGTGATTACCAAAACTTTACAATTCTTCTCAGAATTATAGATTTCCTCGCCGATTTACCGCCAATTTATGGGATCATCTTAGGGTTTTTTGTTTGTTACAGAAAAAATCAAAAGTTCTATATCAACTAATTTTGTTGGACTATTTTCAATATTTTAGAAAGCAGGCCTACAAAAAGACCTACAGTAATCAGTAGCAACCTAGTTTTCGAAGGTTTTTCTGAACAAGTATTTCCGTACAAAATCCGCTTGTGTTATCTATGGAATTCCCTAAGCCTAGAACTGAGAATATCTTAGCCACTTTTTCACTTAGGTCTTTTTCTTTCAGGACTGCCTCAGGCAAAAAAAACGAGCGAACAAAAAATATAGACCAGGCAGTACCATAAATCTTTCCTTGCTTTATTTCTTTTCTTCCATTTGCGTCATTTTCATCCAAAATCTCGTTATAGCACATTGTTGGCGAATTGACTGCTCGTCTTCAGATGACGAAAATGTATTGTTATAACAATTTGTGTCCCACTCATCGACGACAGACCAGCTATAATTTTCGTGGGCCTCATTATTTCGCCAATGTCTGAATAAGTGGAGTTTTTAAAATTACAATCAATATCAATGACGTTAAAGGATTTGTTGTACAGAAAAATTACTTACGCTTTCCCTTACTTTACTCATTACTTTCTCCCTCGTTTTCCTTATTCACCGATGAAATTCGTTTAACTGTCTGCCATCGTTTCACTGTTGTTGTAGATATTTTCATAGCGATTATTATCTAGATTTAACGGTAATTTGCTTTCTTATCTGCATTCTTTCCTTCACTAAATTCTCTCCAAGGTGCGTGTTGCCCAGTGGTTAGAGGTGCGTTGCAATACACATGTCGTCATTGGTTCGATCCCTCTCCCTGAGCTGACTAAGCCCTCCGTCTCTCCGGGGTCCTCAAATTGCTAACAGACTTGTCTGAGAAATAGAACTCGTGACTTGGTACATCGATAAGGCACCACAAGTCATTGTTTGGGCCAGACATACATCTCTACGATGCCTGATGAAGTCTAATGCGTGGCGTTTCCCTCAGGAATTGATCAGCGCCGAAAACTTCCTCGTTTTCACTACTCATACTTTCCATATTATCATTTTGACTATTTTTTTTTCACTGATATGATAATTACATCGACTACAGGGTGGATCAGGGATGGATCTGAACACAGAGCTCCAAATCAAAGCCGAATCCTACAATCCGTTGGCATCGAGTTCAGCGTTCCTTCATCCTTCGATTATGGGGTAGGTGAATGTCTTATTAGGCAGATTGTTTTTTAATATATATACATATATACGTATATATATGTATGCATATAGACGTATATACTGATACACGTATGTGCACACAAACACAAACTATCATTCTTTTCACTGATATGATAATTACATCGACTACAGGGTGGATCAGGGTTGGGAACATGGTACACAGACATACATACCTACATACATGCATATATACATATATACATACACACATACAATCATATATACGTACACACATTACACATATACATCTTGTACAAGTTTTTCTCTGCTTAGCATTCTGTTTTGTACATTCCGAAATGATTTCGACTCTTAACAACATCCTTCTCACCACTTTTTCCTTTTTAAACGGATTTTTATTCAAGGTGAAAAAGCTTATAAAGAAAATCTAGAAGAAGAACAAAATCATCCTGCTTACTTGTGCTTATTCCTTATTTCATATACAACAATGTGGTGTCATTTTCCTTCGTTTTCCTTCCGATCCACTCTTTGCACCATTCCCCATAGACATCATCGTGAAGCGAGGTTTGCTTTCGTACTGTATTGTGCTCGCCGCAATTCATAATTCGTCGTTGATTCATCGTGTCTTCCGGCGTCACTGAATGAATCGAGAACATCGACTGGCTGACTGAATTGATTACAATGAAAAACTCTGCTTTCATTAGTCTGGAACTCCATTAATAAGAAAACACAGCGATCAGTTCGAATGAGTTTGTTTGTAACTGGTAATTCATCAAAAGCTCATTGAAAGAAGGTCGATTCTGAGATATATATAATCACACTCGTGTGTCATTCGATCGTAGCATTGTCCACGTTTAGTTTTCTTGTGCTTACTTTTCTTCCATTGTGAATTTAGAAATGTGTCTGCAACGTGTCAGTAACGAAAAGGCGATATATTACCTTAACTGAAAGAGAACGACTACCTCAGCCGAAAGAGAACGATAATGGTTTCAATGAGTTTGTTGTAACCAATAAACCATGGCGATGTAAATGAGCATCTACAGTTTGTTCTTCTACATTTCTAATATTTCAAATGTATCAAGATGATGTGGTAAGAGTCAGAGTAGTGGGCACGACGACACATTCCAATGGCCGAACAGCGATCAATCAGAACTGGTAATAGAGGAAAATCGATAGTGCTGGCACTTTTTTCTATTCTCAAGCACTTTTCACTCCCTTTTGGTCAAAAACTAGGAAGCTCTTTCTTCCCATTACTGGAAGACAAGGTATGTAGATGTACCGTGGCTGTGAATGTTGGAGGATTAGGCAGGTGCTATAGCGACGATTATGTCGGACACCGACGATCCGAGGCCTTTCGCTTACCCGATCAGCCGCTGTGTCCGGCGAACAAATGAAGAGGATTTATCCCGCATCCGATATGAGCTAATAAAACCATCAAAAGGTTTAATCATTTGCAAAAACTCCTGTTATAAATTAGAGGAATGTAATTGGCGCTACTTATTGCTAAAGTTAAGATTCTTTTTCGTTTTTCTGTTCTTTTTTTCTCCAATTAAACCTTTTCCTAACACCTAAAATTCATATAAACACCACTTTGACACTATAAGCGATGGATTGGGTTATCATGAGCGGAATGTTCTCTGTTTTTTCTTC